TCCCTTAGTGAAACTATGCTGGCTCTTTGACACTATATCAAACTGCTTTTAGTGACTCTGCAATGCATCTGTAATCACACTCTACAAAACCTTTCCAACTAATGATGTAAGACTAACTGGCCTATAATTGCCTGGACAATGTTTATCACCTCCTTTAAATATTGGACTAATATTATCCAACTTCCATTCTTCTAATACTCTTACATTACTATTAGCTAGTGGTTCACAAATAAAATCTTTAAGTTCCTTTAAACTCTAAGATAAAAGTTGTCTGGTCCAGAGGTTTCCCAACTTTTCCCTTACAATTTCAGAACTTAAAATGATATATTTTACATCAATATTTTCCCCAAACATTAAGTGCTCTGGTTAAGGCATAATACTTACATCTTCCTTCGTAAAAACTGAAGAGAACATATAATTTAATAAGTTTATCATCTCATAATCTTCCAAGATCAGCTCTCCACTATCATTTTTATGAGGCCCAATCCCCATCCTGACATTCTGTCATATATCTAAAAAATTCCTTATTGTTTGATTTAAATCTCTCATCCAACCCTCTTTCATATACAGTTTTGCCCTTTTAACTTCCTTTTTAAACACCTCTCTTGATTTCCTATAGTCCTCCAAGTCCTTATTATTTGCAGCAAGTTTAAATTTCTTGAATTTATTATGTTATCATTAATATGACCTCTTAAACCTTTACTAAACCATACTGGTTTATTCTGCTCCGTTGCCCTTTTTTTTTTGTAGGGAATATGTATGTATGTTCTGTATGCATCTGTATGCTTCCCACATCTGTTCAAGATCCCCTCCCAACTCTTTAGTCCAATCTACAGAAGCCAGATCATGTCTCATTCCATCAAAATTGGCTTCCCTGAAATCTGTAATCAGGGTTCTATTCCTACTCAATTCTACATGTAGTAAAATCCCAAGCCTAATAGTGCAATGGTCACTTGTACTTAAATGCTTACCAACCACAACTCTGTCTATCATATTGTTACGTCTCCGTTTGTTAATTGATTTTCCGTAAATTCGTTCCGACGAAACTTTAGTGACA